CACAAGAGACGCTCCTCAAGGCAAGGCGACAGCTCTTTTCAACTGGCGGTCTGGTGGCATGCAGGTAGACTTTAATCGAAGTTTAGCTCCAATTTTGTGATTTGATTTGTCTCAGATTGATCGCAATGAGGATGTGCTGCTTGTGCTTCTTTTGCTGGCAACCATAAGCATGTCCGTGTCGGATATGCTCGGCAAAGGCATTCCTTCGTGGACGAATACGAGGAAACGAGTGATCATCTCAGAAGAAGAACAAGATCATTGGGGTGAGAAACAAGTTTCTTTGCACGCAAATTCTAAGAACATTGCTGCTTGACCAGGTGCTGTGACAGTTGATCGCCGTCGCCGCAAGGACGGAGGCGGAGAGGGCGGGGGAGAGCACGGGGAAGAGCACGGGGGAGAGCACGGGGGCGACGGTGGTGACGGTGGCGATGATGTTGGTGGTGGTGATGGTTTTGGCGGTGATGGCCAGTGCTGGTATGATGGAGGTGGTTCGTATTGTGGCGGAGGTGGTGCTGGTGGAGGCGGGTGTGGCATCAGTGGAGGTGGGGGATGTGGTGGAGCAGGAGGTGGCGGAGGCGGAGGCGGAGGCGGAGGTTGTGGAGGAGGTGGCGGAGGTGGTGGTGGCGGGTGTGGCGGAGGTGGTGGTGGCGGGTGTGGCGGAGGAGGTGGTGGTGGTGGCGGCGGTGGTTGTGGTGGCGGTGGCGGCGGTGGCGGAGTATCTAGCTGAAGGGAAATTATGATCATTGACTAGAAGCTAAGAGTGTTTGGATATCTGCGAGTTCAGACTCATTATGTAATGAACGATAAATGCAGCTTTTAAATCCAAAATGCTCCTGGGAAGAAAAAGTGTTGCCTGACAGAGTTTAAAATAGCTGATATCAATACCAACGCACTAGGTCAAAAACATTGAGAAAGAAAGCTTTGTCGATTTAGTGATTTAAGAGGAATTTATTTATGCTTTTGTTTCTTGGTGCTTGATTGGCCTAAATAGCTTTGCATTTCTCCTTGCAGCAGATTTCAGTGTTTCACACTTAACCTGATTGAGTATGCAGGCGAAGTTTTTGAATCCCAAAAGAGCAACTAGATCGATATCAACAAGATCTTTAGAAGAATCGATATTGGAGCAACAGACGGTAGTACCCCCGCTACATTTTTCTGAATCCTGGGATTCAACGTTGATAAGGCTTATTGCCACTAGAAAGAATGCAAGAACAAACTGAGTGGAGGAAGCCATTGACACTCTCTTTTGTAAATATGGAGCACTGATTGATTCATAGTCCTGATCACCAGGGGCTTTTATATAGGGGCTCCTGCGTGGTTTGTATGATCAAATGACTTGTTTAACATTGTCACCTTTACAGGTTTAGCTGATTCATGATGCACGTCATTGGGTCATGCCATCCGCCAGGTTTGTTCTCTTTCACTTCCAAAGCTTCACTCTAACCTCTTTCCTACCAAAAGAAAGTTTGATACAAAATGGAGTGAGTTTATAGAAGTTCTATTTTACAAGTATGTCTGTCACAAGTTTGATAATAGTTCTTTTCCTCTTCCTTTTGAGGATGATCACCACAACTGACAAACGAATCGAGATTGACTACCACTGATCCAGGCTTCTTCCACGCGCCAATCTTCCTGCTCATCGCATGAACTCTAGCTTTCTCCTCAACCATGCCCAAGCTTCCATAGATGTTGGCCATGAGAACGTAAGTAGCAGCCTGCTTCTCATCCAGCTTCACCAGTGCCTCAAACGCCAGCCTTCCAAATTCCAAGCTCTTCCACTTGTGACACGAGCTCAGCACGATGGTCCATGTCACCACATTCGCTGCGAAAGGCATCGAGTTCGCCATCTCCACCGCCTCCTGGAGTTTGTTTGCCCGGCCTAGCATGTCCACCACGACGTGGTAGTGCTCCATCGTCACGTTCCGGGAGCACATCTCCTGGAAGAGCTTCCTCCCTCTTTCAACCAGCCCGGCATGGCAGCACGCGTTCAAGACCGCCAGTGTGGTGATGCCATCCGGTTGGAAGCCTTCTTCCACCATCCTTGCAAAGAGCTCGAGGACGGCGTCGGTTTCACCGTGGCGGCTGTAGCCTGTGATGAGCGAGTTCCACGAGACTATATCCCGGGCTCTTGTTCTAGCGGAATCGAAAACCTGGTGAGCCACGACCATGCTCCCGCACTTGCCGTAGAAATCCACCACCGAGTTCGTGACAAGCCTGCCAGCCTCGAGTCCACACCGGCATATATCTGCATGGATCTTCTTTCCAAACTCGAGCGATGCAACTGTGGAGCAGGCCTTCAGCACGGCAACGAACGTCTGATCGTCGGGCTGGCAACGTTTCTCTTCAAGCCTCATCTTTGTGAAGAGCTCCAGTGCCATATCTCCCTCGTCGTTTTGAGCACAGCCGAGTATGAGCGCTGTCCATGACACCACATCGTGGCGCTTCATCCTGTCAAACACCCGGCGAGCCTGAAGGACGCTGCCGCACTTGGAGTACATATCCACCAGCGTGCTGCTCACACAGATGTCCGGCTCAAACCCGGCCTTGAAAGCTTCCCGATGAACAGCCATGCCTTTCTCCAGAGCTTTCACCTTGAGGACTTTGCCGTCCTCTTCAATGCCGTCCTCTCGCAGAGCCAAGTTCGTGCACGCGTGAAGAACTGCCACGAACGTCTGAGCATTCGGTGCACACCCCGAGGCTTTCATTCTCTCAAACATCCCAAGGGTCAGCTCGCTCTCGCCATTCTGTGCGTAGCCAAACAGGAGAGCGGTCCACGAGACCACGTCCTGAGCCACCATCTTCTCAAACACGATGCGGGAGTCCTCCATGCTTCCGCACTTCGCGTATGTATCCACCAGGACACTTCCCACGAATATCTCCGTTGCAACTCCACTCTTGGCAGCTTCACGATGCACAGCCATGCCTTTCTCCAAGCACTGGATCTTTACACCTGAGTCGTTTGCCACCTCTCTGTCCGTCAGCCCCGTGCAAGCTTTGAGCGCAGCAACAAAAGCCTGCGAATCTGTCCTGCGTCCTTCTTCTTCGCCAAGCATCCGAGCGAAGAGCCTGAGGCCAACCTCATTCTCCCCGTTCGTAGCATAGCCCAGGATCAATGCCGTCCAGACCACCAAGTTGTGGCTCGGCATTCGATCGAAAACTCTGCGAGCATCCCTCATGCTCCCACACCTGGCATAAATGTCCACCAGCGAGCTCGCCACAAAGTTATCCAGCTCGCATCCAAATCCCTCGGCTTGCAAGTGGACAGCCATGACTCTTTCCAGAGTCCTTGTCTTCACCACCTTTCCACCGAATCTCCTGCCTTCCTCCCTTGCAGCCAAGCTCGAAAGGCCCTTGAGCACAGCCAGAAACGTCTGAGAATTCGGCCTTGCGACGAGCAGCATCCGCGAGAAGAGCTCCAAAGTCACTTCTCCATGGCCGTTCTTGGAGTAGCCGAGCATGAGCACTGTCCAGAGAACCACATCGTGGTGCTCCATGGCATCAAACACCGAGCGAGCCTCGCCCATGCAGCCACATCTCGCGTACATGCTCACGAGAGAGCTCGCAACGTAGAAGTTGGAACCGTTGCCACTCTCAACCGCTGCGGCATGGAGCTGCCTTCCCCTCTCGATCGCTTTTGAGCCGCTCGCCGCCTTCAATGCAGCAATGAGCTCCAGCACCATCTCCTTTTTCCTCTTGTCCTCCTCTTGTTTGATCTTGTTCCAGCTGAGAATTCTTTTATCCTCTGAGCCACTGCTGCTTGTTTTTGTGAAAGTCCTTCCTTGCATTCCTTCGTCGCTGGTGCTGGAAGCGCCATAGCCTCTCCTTTCTCTCGAGAAAAACGGCGAATTGCGAGCCGCCGGCACCACAGCCATGACATGGGAGGGAATGTGCAGGAGCTAGGCCCGCTAATCCCATACCTTTCTCCATCGCGGCATCGCCCAAGGCTCTGGAACCCTAGTCCTATAAACACGCATATTACCCAACTTAAAACGTTTTGAATGAAGTCATCAACATTTATACTTTGATCACATTTCTTTCTTTTAAAAAATCTGATGACGTTGTATTGGTTTTGGAATACCATAGAGAGAAAACCACCTACTTGTATGTTATCATTTGAGATATAATACAAGCATATTACATGATCTAGAGAATTTTACCAAAAGAAAAGTAATAAAAGTTTTAAAAAATTGGTGTTCAGAATTTTTATGATTATAAATATCTAAATGTTTATATATATACATATACACACATTGTGAGGGCAAAGTGTATGGCTATGATGCCGTATACTAATATTAGCGTAGTGGGATTTTGGTAGCCGCCGGATTGGTTTCAATCCGGACCACTCGCTCCTATATATAAGCTAAGGTTTTTGGGCTAATTGATATGCACATTTCTGTATTCCCTTTCTATATTCCATGCACTCACATTGGTGGAGATGAAGGGCAGCTTTGATTGTCCCTGGGGAGTGCCTAGATTTGGGATTTCAGTTTAGATCTAACTTTTGCATTGTCTAGATCTAGCTTTTTCCATTTCCTTTTTTTTGTTCTTTCCTTTCAGGATTTTGGTTTAGATCTAGCTTTTTGCATTGTCTAGATCTACCATTTCTTTCCAGCTTTTTGTCATTTCTCTTCTTTTGCTCTTTCTTTTTTTATTCATCTTCATGGCCGATCCACAATCTCCTCCTTTGACTCTAGAGCAGTAGTTGGTTCAATTGCTTGATGCTATGCGTTTGCAATTGAGCAACCAAACTCAGTTGATAGCGGCGTTCACGGCACATGGTACAACTCCTCCTGCTCTTGGTGCCAATCCTCGCGTTCGGCCGGAGTTCTTTCGTGGGAATCCTAGGGATGATGTGTACCATTGGTTCGATCACTTCACGGTGATTGCCGCATATCATTCTTGGGATGATGCTCGATGTTTGCGTGAGTTCCCCACATGTCTCCAAGGGACGGCATTGCAGTGGTATAATGGATTGAGTGCAGCCACTCGTGGCGATTGGAGTGTTCTTCCGGACGTCTTCAAACGCGCCTTCGGACACGCCGACGATTGTGATGATGCCTTCCAACAATTGCATCGTCTTCGCCAAGGGCCATCTGAGTCGGTGATGCAATTTGGCGTTTGTTTCCGAAGTCTTTTGCTTCGTGCGGAGTCAAATATGTCGGAGCGGATCAAGCTAGGAATGTTGTGGCCAGCACTTCGTCAAGATCTTGTCGGACTTGTGCATGCACTTGCTCCTGCCACTCTTGACGATGCTCTTCGCTTGGCACAACGTTATGAGACGTCGCCTCTTCCACTTCTTGCTACACGTCCTTCAGCTCCACTTCCTATGAGTGATGGTCCTGTTCCCATGGAGGTTGATGC